TCCAGACCATATACAATTTTAGAGCTCTAACCAAGTGATGATAGGAAATGGTGAGATGATTCCATTCTCAATTATTGGCTTTACATCTATTATTGCCTTAGAAAGATCTTGTATTTAAATCATGTTCAGCATGCTCCTTTTCTTGCCAATAATCAAATTAACGTACACAAGTTATGTCTAGATAACTTGGCCTTTGTTGAATTCTTTCCATTTTTTTTTTGTCAAGGATATTCTCATGAGGCAAGTACTTCGCGAAGGCCATCTTGACAGCCTTGGTCTTTACAAATCATTTCCATTTCTACCTGCAAACAATGGTCTTCCCATCTCAAGCATCTATTCCTTCGTGTTTCTAGCTTATGCCCATCATACTGTAGTATACTTGATCAATTGTCTACCAACTCAGGTACTATTACACAAATCATTGCCCTTGTTTGAGCTCCATTTTTCCACCAAAATACATTCTTCATCAGTGATTTGACACCACTTCAACCACACATTCTTTAATAAAATAATATTATATGCAAATCAAAAAAAATTTCTTATTTTTTAACCACATATTCCCCATCAATACACTATTCAAAAATTCATTTTCTCCTCTAAAATGGGGCTCAAACAAGGGCATCATACGAGTAGCTGTATAAGAAAATACCCTTATACGTTGGTCTTCGAGTTTATAACTGTGCTTGTTTTCCATTTCTTTGAGCTAAATTCTCATAAACTACATATGGATCACATGAATGTGTATTTATTGTCTATAGTTATGCTCATATAGACTACTAATGCTTAGATAAGAAATATGGCTGAGTACACACTTTAAGACATGTTTTTAATTAGAAATCTTTTCCTTTTAAGTATTTCCAAACACCTAATTAATTTTGATAAATCTAGTCTTAGTCTCATTACTATTTTAAATGTCTCCTTTTTAACTCATCCACAGCCTTCTAGTAGTCGAACTGATTTTCCTTCTTTTGTAAAACATATTTGTGTTTCTTTGCCTTTTCCATTCCAAATGTCTAATTCTCCTTTTGAATTTGCAAGATATCCAACCAAAACACAAATATCTCTTCATCTTCCACAGATTTTTACATGTTGACATTTTTGAAACAATCCCTTCATAGACCTCCAACTCCATCCAATACACTTCACATGCACCAACTAAAACTATAATTGAGTAATACAATTCCTCTCATTCACATACCTTATGAACCAAATTCCTTTAAGCAAGCCATACAAGAAGAACCAATGGAGTTTGAGATTAATTCCCTCATGAATAAAAATAGATAGACCTTTGTTCCTCATTTTTCAAATCAAAAGGTGTATAAACTTAATCTAAAACCAAATGGGAACATTGGGTGATACAAATCTTGTTTGGTGACTAAGGGGTATGATGAACACGTGAAATTGATTATTTTGAGAGTTTTAGCCCTGTGGTTAAACCAACTAAAATACTGGTTTTCCTTACACTTGCTTTATCTATAAATTGGTCTATTAGACAACTCGATGTTCAAAATACATTCTTATATGGCGACTTCAGTTAAAAGGTAATTATGGAGTAGCCTCCGGACCTTGTTAGGGAGACATATCCCCATTCCATTTGTAAACTTAATAAAGATTGTACTGTCTGTAACAGTCTCCTCGAACATGTTATCAAAACTTAAGCTCTTGTCTAATAGAGTGGGGTTTTATAAGGTAAAAAGCTGATACATCAATGTTTGTCTACCCTACTCCTATTGTCATGATCATTGTCTTGATTCATATTGATGATATAGGTATTATTGGTAGTGACACTCATGCACTTGAACATGTTAGTAGAGTGCTTTGATGCTAATATCCTGTTTGGCTTGTATTAAAACTTATAATTTATTTTTCTCTCTTCTTATCAATTACAAGCTCTATAATAAAATAATATTATACATAATCTCAAAACCATTTCTTCTTTTTTAACTACACATTCTTAAAATAATAATAATAATAATATTTCAATTATTAAAATTTCAAATTATGGGAACCAAATAGAGATTAATTTTGCTCTCAAGGACCTTCGACAAATAAAGCTATTTATTAGACTGTTATGTCCCAATCCACACAAATGGCTTCAGGTGTTGTATTGTCTACTCACGGAGGGAAATCCTCGTGTGAACCAACCACCTATAAAAGTATTATGGGCGCTTTGCAATATCGTACAATTACTAGACCACCGCTGAGCTTATGTTTAGCCCCAATCTTTTAAATTTTTTTTTCAAAACTCATTTTCTATCACATATTCTTTCATAAAATAATTTTACACATAACTTGAAAACATTTACTTATTTTTAACAATGCATTCTCCAAAATATCAATATTTCAGAATACATTTTTATTTAATTACAAAAATGTGGTTCAAACAGGGGCTGAGTTTTCATGTGAAAAAAATTTCGCCAATTCATAAATTTTTCCAACTGATTTGCAATGGCAAGTAGTAAAGAGATTATTAAAGGTACCGCAAAGGCACCCTATGTTTTGGCTTATCCTTTTAAGCTTCTCTTGATTTGCCATTGACATGTTATATAGGCCTTATTTGAGTCTTATTCTTTCAAAAAATACATTTGTAAATAGTGATTTGATATCATTTCAATTATACATTTTTCAATAAAATAATATTACACGTAAATCCAAAACTTTTCTCATTTTTTAATCACACATTTTTCATCAATCTACTATTTCAAAATAATGTGGCTCAAATACACACATTGATTCTAAACGGGCTTGCCATCGCAAGAGTACAAGTGATTATTATATTTTCTTTGGTGCTAATCTAGTTTCATGGTCCTCTAAGTAAAAGGTTGTCCCTCGAATAAGTGTGGATTCTGAGTATCGCAATGACGCTACAAGTGCTACATACTTAGCTGCCAATCCTATTATACATTCTCGAACAAAACATGCGAAAATTGGTTATCATCTTGTTCGAGAAAGGATCCTTAAACAATCTCTTATTTTTAGAATCTCTTATCCGACATTATGACAAAGGCCTTGCCAACTTAATAGTTTCTTGTCTTTAGAAGCAAGCTTACATTGTCGCCCAACCGATTGATCTTTAGGTGGTACGTTTAGAAAGAATTCATTAGCTCCTAATGTTAGCCCCTGTTTGAGCCCCATTACATTAAATTCTATTACATTTCATTTTTCTTTCTCCTATTTTCAACCACATAATTTTTCATAAAATAATATTACACGTAAGTCGAAAACTTTTCATTCTTTTTCAACTACTCATTTTTCAAAAAAACACTATTCCCCCTATTAATTTTTCCACGTTATGGGGGTCAAACAAGGGCCTAATAAGTTAATAATTAATTATTATTATTTTATATCTCCTCATGTATTAACAACTGTATATATATATACATATCATATTTTTACTTATGAGTAATAACGTTTAGCATAACCGATGTTTAATGCTAGTTTAAATGACAATACTTATAACGTTAAATTATGAAATAATATTATCTAGTTCAATGGTGCTAAATCACCAATCTAATTGGTTACATTTGATAGATTCAATTAATTAAATCAATGTGACATTTAATGTCATACAACTATCATATAAATTGGTGCTTAACACCATATATTTAATTAAATAAAAGAATTAAAGGTCCCCATTCATTAGGAAATATGATATGTCAATATTTGGATACGTGTTTAATGTCACTTGTGTTCTAATATTATTCTTTATTTATAAAAAGAGAGCAGTGTAAGCGTTTTTAACCATGACAAATATATTGAAGGGTTTTATTATAATATTAATTTTGAAATCATTTTTTTATCAAAATATATTTGAAACTTTATTGAGTTTAATTTTTGTTCTATCACAAAATTATAAATTAATAGGAAATTTATACTATTTTCCCTTTTTTTAACCAAAAAAGGAAAGTTAATCATTATTTTTGACCTGGGCTGAGTAGATTATCAGCACGAAACATAAAGCAATAGAATAAATGCTTTTACCAAAAGTATGAAATTAATAATTAATAAGATAAGTTTACCCAAAATAAGTAATTCTTTGGACGGGACCACTTTATGAACAAATTTACCTCTAAATAGATATACAAATTGGCCTAAACAAACCATATTGTGAAGAGAATCTGAGCATTATTATGTGCATCTAATTGTGGGATACGTTTTGTTTTAATTAAATAAGTATTTTCCCCATCCAAGTTTGTTTGGTAGAATAATTTTATTCAAAATCTACATATTTAGTATTCGAGAAAAGTACGAGAAATGATTCCAAATATTTTTCAAAACAAAGTATATTATCATACCGTGATTTAAAATTATGGATTGAAGCACTTCATCTCTCAAATTAAAAGCATCCGACTAGGATTCTATCATTATACATGTTATCTCGTCTATCGACAAATCAGTTTGAACTTAACATTAAAATTTTAGATTTTCAAATCAGAATCCTTGACGTGGAATCTCAACTTTTGTGTTTCGATGAATACGGTTTGTACTCTAGAGTTCTCAATTTGCCATAGCACAACGCCACAACGTATCTCGATGTGACTACAAGTGAGATTCCACCTATGTCCAACCTATCTAATTATGGAAACAAATGAGATTCCACTAAACACTGATGAATTTTCTAAAGTTTTTAGAGTTTTATTTATCGTAGTGATAAATGAGATTTCACCATCACCAAACACCTTTGTTTAACCCCTCACCCCACCACCTCTGAACGAAGTGTAAAATTGACCCAAAATGGGCATAGGATGTTAGACTAAAAAGAAGTACAAAGATAGGCCAGCCATGTGATGTATGGCATCGTGACACATACAAGGGACAGGTGCTTGGCGTGGAGAATGAAGATTGGTTAAAAAAAAAAAAAATAATAATAATAATAAAACGAAATACATTTCCCTCCGCCACCCTACGCCCCACTACATCGGCGCGCCTTGGAGTATGAGTTGAAAACAATGACACCTTTCACAAGAAAAAAGGGGTTATTTGGTAAGCCACCATCAAAAGGAATCCACCACAGATTTTTTTCTTTAACATTTCGTTTTCATTCAAGTTTTATTTTCATTTATTACTTCTTATCACTTGGAACAGCTAAGATAGACGAATCCTCATTACTGACTTGAGAAATTGTTTGCATTAATGAGAAATTCAGCTTATACTTTTTTTTTTTTTTTTGGTTTAATTTTTCGTTTGTCTGTACATAATTATGGAGGCTGTGGGCTATTGGTAGAGTGTTTTGAGTAAATTAAAGATTACTGTCATTAATCACCCCAACCTGTTCTCAGTTTCTGTTCTATTTGACACCATAAAACCCAGTTTATCATTCTCGTCTCCTTCCAATCTTAAACTCTCTGTATATTTTTCTGTTTGTTTCTGTTTTTCATTTTTTCTACTTCTAAAGAGTGAAAATAGAGGTGGGTTTAGAGATTTTTTTATTATTTTTCAAAGCCCACATTTCTTTGTCTGAAGAAATTTCTTTTGACGATTGTTTCTATTTTCAGGTCTCGAGTTTAGATCTATATCGGAATCTGCTGCTCTATTGGCCGGTAAAATGTTTAGATTGTGTCATTTCTGTATTGAAATTTTGATGATACAATCCTGTTAACTCTTTTTTATTTTTCCTTTATTTTTCTGTTCAAAATTTAATCATTATATTTTTAGTTTTCTGGTTTCTGGGATCATTTTTCCGCCCTTCTGGGTGGGTTTGGCTTCTCCTTGTTCCTTTGTTTTTGGAAGACAAAAGAAGTGTACTGGCTCCTTGAATTTCTAAACCCTTCAATGGTTTTAATCTTTTGAGGGTTTGATGTTATGGAGGTAATTCATGATCGATTATGTTTGTTAATTTCTGAATTGGTACCAAAGATTTATTATTTACGCTATTCTGTTTTATTTTATTTTCTTCTCTTTCACTAGAAAAATATTGTTTGATTCATAAAGCAAAGTTTCTTGCTTAATGCATATATGAATATGCTAGTATGTATAAAAATTGAAATAAATAAATGATTTTTTATTGTTTTTCTTTTACCTTTAAGTATAATATTTTCTGTTTGTTGATGTGCTTGTTTCCATCTTTACTTTGGTGTAAAGGTTGGGTGTCACAAAAAATGCTATTGTATTCAATTTGGTTTTTCAGTTTTTGGGTGTTTACTAACAGCTTATGTCTATGTATTGATGGTTATAGTTGTTTGATATTGATGGTTCTTGTTCAAGCTTATATGTTTCATTATTTGCTTGGGGTTAGAATTCTGAATAGTATTAAACCTTGTTGAGATATGGGACAACAATGACTTTCTTAGGCGTAATTAATGCTCTTATGTTAATGCAGTCGTGTTTGTTGATTTGGAATATTTGTTATCCGTGAAATAAGATATTTTTGCAGCATTGATGAGAAAGAGATTGCAAAGCTAATTCTGAGCAACGTGGCATTGATGTGGAGGGATTCCTGTGAGACTGGGATAATAATATGCTCATGATGACAAATAAAAATTGTCTGAACGTAGTCGGATGATGAGAAAAAATTGATTAGGTTCTTATCTATCTGTTTGGATACGCCTGGTGGTGGTACATTTGAGCTACCAATAAATACGGTATCTGACAGATGAACCACACGTCGTTAGAGGAATTAACAGAATCTGTTGTTGCGATTAAATGATTTATCCTTTTTACTGGATTTTTATATCTTTACTATTGTCAATGGGAGATGCCTTTTTATTCAAAGAATTTTGGCTTTTTAAATGTAGATCATCATTATTTTATTGGCACCCATTATTTGGTGGTTTTGGTTAACATTCATTAATTGTTCATGCTATACGAACTCATTGTACATGATGTACCCTTTTAAACTTATCAATTATTGAAATTTGTCTTTAACACCTGTGGGTTTATGTTCTAGATTTGCTGAAAAATTACGGTTCCAGATATTCTTTCACCATTGGTTTGGAATCTGTCTGGAGTGTCTGAGCAAATCAAACAGTAGCCTTAATGCAAGGGCAAAGGAGTGCTTTCAGTACCTTGGCTGAAAATTTGAGCTCGGATCACGGGTCTACATCAAGTGATGCTGGAATAAACGAGCTGATGTCCTGGAATAATACCCAGACTACTGCTCAGAATCAACTATCAGATTATATGATGTCAAGTGATGCTGACGTTACACTTCTTGGCCATGCTAGCCATGAGGAGCAGACTTTAAGTGTGTGGAATGTGGGTGAAACTAGTTCTAGTTGTGCACAAAATCAAACTGAACAAAATGAGAGAAAAACAGAAGATGGCTGGCCATCATTTATGAGCTTTCACTCTGGAGCTGCTCATACATTGGATGAAAGACACCATGAATCATCTGATATCCTTTTATTGGATAATGTTGACGTAAATTCAAATAACAATCAGACTACAAATGGGCCGTTTCTGCTGCAAAATTTTAGTTCTGACATCTGTAAAAGGGATCTTAATATGGGTTCTGGGTCGGACCACGAAAATGATGACTGTCAGGTAGTGGAGCGTCCTAACACATTCAAATCTAATGGATCTTCAAATGGGCAGATGCCCTTTGCTAGTAGTTCCCCTGATCCTTTTGGGATGCCTTCTGGTAGTGGTGGATATTTGATGGAGGAAAGTGAGGGCAGGCCAAGTTGTTCTTTGGATGGTCGACGCTTATCTTGCAAAAGAAAAGCATTTGAAGGAAATGTGGGACAATCTTCTGGAACTGGAAGTTCAATGTATTTTCAGCAAGTTGAAAGAAGTCTGTGGCATGCCGTGCCTGCTACTCAGGGTGCCATGAGCAGCATAAGTATGTCAACACCAATCGATGACATTCCTGCCATTGATGAAGTGTCAGAACAGGCAAACTCAAGACTGGGGCCTTGTGTTGGAAGATCTGCTTCTACAAGTCCTCTGACTCTGAATGCTTCAGGGACTGAAGAAAGTTCCCTACAAAATTTCTGCTTGCAGATGAATGGCTCAAACCAACAAGATTCTATACCTGGTAACCTGTTTTCTACGGAGTCTAATGTTGGAAACACAAGTTTTCCATCTTCCCTGCATTCATCAAGATTACGTCTTCGTAATCATGTATTTGACTCGATGGCTGCATCTACTGAAGAAAATGAAGGTTTTCATGTAACATCTGGTTTGCATATTCCTCCTGTTCGCCGGAGTCGACAGTCTAGGTGGAACGAGGCATCTAGCTCAAGAGCCAGCAGTTCATCACCTTCTGCTATTGCTGCAGACAGGGATGTTGTGCTTTATGAAGAAACTCCCACAAGAAGTTTGCCAAGAAACATTTCAGAACATCATGTGTTTGCTTCTGCTTCTGAGATGAGAAATTCATCGCAAAATCCTCCTATAATGCGTACAACTGGTGGTAACATCAATGTGGCTAGAAATGTTGCATCTTCTTCTCGTGCAGGCTCTACTTCCGGAGTCAACTCATCTACACCTAATTGGTCCTATCGGAGTTCTTCACTATACCCACGGAGACTGTCTGAAATTGTTCAAAGATCTTTGCTGACCTCGGCAGGTACAGAGTCTGGAAGCCAGACCAGCAATCTCGCTCTGCTGCGTTCTGCTGCCTCCCAGGCGATGGCAATTTCATCTGCATCTGATGATCATGAGCATCATTTGCCAAATTCAAGGTCAGCCATGTTGGAGAGACATCTTGATGGAGCTTTTGGAGTACCTTATTCGCTGCAAATTTTGGCTGCTTCCAGTGAAGGAAGAAACAGTAGGCTAGTCTCTGAGGTAAGTACTGTGTCTTGTTATTCTCTACACGTTATAAACATAATATGAACAAATGATACGAGCTTATCGTTTTATTCCCGTTTTACCTATAGATTTAGACTTGTTGATTTTGACCTGGATTCTAAGAATATCTTGATCAATTTGGAATTCTGCACTGGGATCAGATTTGACCTTTTCCACATGCACATCTTTATGGCCCATAAGATATTTGGATTCTTGAAGTATACATCAAGCCAAAGTTCTAGAGATACTTGGACAGTTCAAGTACACTTGATTGGTTTGCATCTGTGAATGCTTATGTACGCTGAATTACTATACACAGTCAATGTTCTATAATAAATAGAAGCTATCACTCGACACAATCTTATGTTACATCTGAATTACTTTTTGGTCATTTGTGTAATACAGTTATATATGCATGATCCTTAGTGGCCTCAGCCTTTGAATGACGATGCATAACTTGCTATTGGTAATTAACGTGAGCTTGTATCAACCCAAAAAATCCAAAACGCACTGCAATTTTACCATAACTATGATGTTGTGCATGCATCAGGGAAAGAAAAAGGAAAAGGAGAATACATTATTTGTCTTATACCTAATGTGCTAATGCTCCCCCCCACTACTTACTTTGACCGACCATGAAACACTTCAGTCCGAATTGTATAGAAGGCATGATGGTGTCAAACTCTCTCTCTCTCTCCCCCTGCCCCTCCCTCCTCTCCTATTAGCTTTTGAACATAATCCTTAAGTCTTATTTATTCATTGTCCTTCCACGATGGCTGTACACTTAAGAACACAAATTTTTTTCTCTTCACACGTTTCCTTGTTAAACATTGTTGCTGCGATGATTGATATTTAATATGTATGTGGGCTTTTCAAATACTTAATGTGGGGAGCAAACTTGTGATACGTGCTCATTGATAGTGAATGCTCTTGTGAGTTGAATAGTGTTTGCTATTTCTGTTTAACTTTCATATGTTTGTGAGTCCAAGAGGAGGTTTTTGGTTATGATACAACTCATCATGCTTCAATCAATTTATACACTAGTCTGGCAGCATGTGTTATAGGAATACTGTTGGAAAGAAAAAAAAAATTCCCTCTAATATTTCTATGGAAATTATTATTCAAATGAAAATAATCATGTTTATTTTGCTTTTTAGCAGATTCGAAATGTCTTGGATCTTATGCGAAGAGGAGAAGGCTTAAGATTTGAGGTTAGATTCTTTCAACTTCATTCATTGTAAACACAAAATTTTGCTACTATTGGCATATAAAGACTTGTTTGCATGTATATTTTTTAATCTAGATTACGCCCCTCCACTTACATGCTCATATAAAGCGACCCTATTATATTATCTTATAGCAATGTCTTTTAGTTACTTGTGGCATTGGTCATAGACAATTTTTTTATTGGAGGGGAAGCAACACGGTTAAATTAGATTGCAAAGTTGATGTAACATTTGTGAGGAGAAACAGAGCCAGGACCGTAACTCAGTGGGGGAAATATTAAAATCCAATCTTATTTTAATCATCAATAAACCTTCTCGATCTCAACCTGAAAAATGTCCTCAAATCTCCAGCCAAGGGACCAAAAGTAAAGAAATAAAGATTTAAGAAACCTTCGGTATTAAGAGGATCAAGTAGTTGTTGCTTTGTTTCTAGCCGTAGCTGTCAAATATGTGTCTCCACTAGTAAGTTAATATTTTAGTTAATATGTCTAATTAATAAGTAAAAGTTAGTCAAACACATAATGTTAACTGCAGAATGCTCTGGAATCTTCTTTTCTTCATTTTAATTTCAACCCCAACATACTACTTTGGAAAGTGTAAAAAACATCCGGTGTCTGCGCGTGCAATTTTATATCGATACACCAATATTTCCTTCTCTCTCCAACTCTGTACTCTCTTTTCTTGCCTCACGAAGCAGATTTCACATGCAATCAATTCCTTTGCTCATTGATTTAATCGGTAGCAAGCTTCTTGATTGTTGAAGATTTGGGACCATCGTTGCCACTCCTACTTCAGTCGACAACTTGCCACAATATCAGATTGCACTTGCATAGACTGTAACAACTACAATTGTGATTTCATAGCCTCTTCCACTGTTGCTGCTGCTAAATCTCATCTTGAAAAAGTTCATAGTTTGTATCTCTCTTGTGTATATGTCTTTTTATGTGTGTTTGTGTGTCTCTGTGTGTGTAAATATGTATGTTCTACTTTCCCTCTCTAATTTGGGTTTTGTTCGTTAATTCCCATCCTTGCATGTTTTTCTCCTCCACCATACACCATAATAACTGTTGCCATCGGAAATTCATTTAGCCTCCAAGTCCCCATTCCTAAGAAAATTTTTCCCCCAAAATTCTGTGAGGGAAACTGCCCTCAGTAGCCCTCCACCCTGTTGAGAAGTTCATGCCATTTGGTTGGGCCTGCTATGTTGATGATTGAAGTTAGTAAAATGCACAACTGCAGTAGCTCATAGGAATAAGTTGGGCATTAGATTGATATATTTGTGTGTTCACTAAACATGAGCATGTTTGTCGAAGCTTAGAAGTAAGTTGAAGTTTTTTGTTTCTAAATGTGTGTGGATAATTTATGTTTTCTTCTTTTTAAGTGAAAAGCTGGTTATTTTGGAAGCGAGTCTTAGTTTACTGACAAAATAATTAAGTTATATCTATTTATATACATAGAAATAAAATTTTAAAATAATTAAGTTATTAAACATGCTAATGGTCAATCAATGGAGCGGGCTCAAGGCGATGCTTTTATTGTTGTCATAGTGAATGAGAACTAGTATGACAATCTTTCCGAATAAATGTGCGTTCCTTATGAGGTACTCCAATTTGGATAGATCACTCAGCTGTTTTAGTGTTGGTTTTTTGTGCAAGGATTCCATGAATGAGTGTGTGTGTGTCTGTATATATTTCTGGTAAACAAGCTTATAGTTGCATCTGAATGGGATCTGATTCGAAATGAAATTATTTGGGATATGCCCGCTTTATGTAGTATTTTGTATTTTCTGATGTTTTTACATAATTTCTCATTTTATATTTTTGTGGAATCATTTTTCTGAATCCAATATCTGCTTCTGCTTGTACACTAGGATGTCATGATCCTCGATCAGCCGGTTCTTTTTGGGATGGCTGATATTCATGATAGACATCGGGATATGCGTCTAGATGTAGATAACATGTCTTATGAGGTGAGATATGGATTAGTTTATATAATGCCATTGGTTTCCTGATATAGCTTTATATTTATTTAAAAAATTTCATCCAACAGGAGTTGTTGGCATTGGAGGAGCACATCGGAAATGTCTGCACGGGACTGAGTGAAGATACCATTGTAAGCTGTTTGAAGCAAAGGAAATATGTAGATGTTAAAATAGAAGGTCAAACAGAGACTGAGCCTTGCTGTATATGTCAGGTAAAACATTTTCATCATACTTGAAACATCTGTAGTATTCAAATTGGAGGGAAAACTCGCATCCTCTGTCCCCTATTTATTGCTAGAGTAGCATGTTGGTCCTGAACCTTCCATTAGAGTTGCATAATCTGTCCTTAAACGACAGGAACTTTCCAAATCTCTATGAAATAATATCTGGCATCGGCCCAAGCGGGAAAACAAAATATATTTATGAAGATTGGATGTTTTTCCTGACTTAGGGACTGATTGTACTATAATGAAAGGTTGATGATCAACTTGATCGTTTTTTTTGGTTCAACATGTTTTTCCTGCCTTAGGGACCAATCATGCAATTTTCCCAATTTCTTCTATGAATTTATATGGTTTAATTGCTGTATTATTCCATGTAGGAAGAGTACAAGGATGGAGAAGATCTTGGAACACTGGAGTGCAAGCATGACTTTCATGCAGAATGTATTAAACAATGGCTAATGCACAAAAATTTGTGCCCAATTTGTAAAGTCACAGGTTTGTCTACCTAAGACGGGGGTAAGCAATTTGGGACACTGGTTTCTTCCCTGGTTGAAATGGGTTCTCGCAGGCGCAGAAAAGTATCTGCTTAGTATGCTTAACCTGTAAGTGGAGTATGTGTTCATCCATAACACAAACTCTTCTTAGCTTTAGGAAATATTTCTTATTTATTCCTTGCGATAATCAAATCTCCTGGTGGAAGTTGAAACTGATAAACAAGAGTAGAACCCCTTTTAGATTTATTTTTAGTCTTAAATTGCATTGGTTTAATCGAAATTAAACGATTTTATGCATATAATTTTTGCATTGGTGTATTTATTTGTTAAAATGTTGGAAATAAATGAGAAAACACCGATAGCTTGAAAGTCAGGCTAGCTACCTCATTTAGCTATCGGCGAAAGTAGGGAGGGTAAAGCCCTTTAAGTTAGGCATTGGGTTTGCTCTTTAATAGTTACCAGTTCGAGTTCCCTCAGAATTACTAAGATGAGTACTTGATTGTAAATTTCAGGGTCTCGTAGAATTAGTCGAGATGCGTGTAAGCTGACCTGGATATTCATGGTCATTTAAAAAAAAAAAAAAAAAAAGATTCGCAACTTGAATACTTTTGCCCGGCTGTGGCCTCTCAGACCTAAGGTCGATATTGTCGCCCTTTAGTTTAAGAATTTGATGATTTTGAGCTAGCAGCATTTTTATTGTACGGTTTACTTCATTGTGTGCCACTCTCAAATCTATCTTGAAGAATGATAGCCATAGCTGCTGCTTTGATTCATCAAGTTAAATTGTTCACAAGTTTGGGAATGAATAGTTTATTTAAAGCATGCATGGCTAGTGGTGTCATATGTGCTGGAATGAATTGACCTATTTTAAGAGAATCTTGGGTTAGGACGGTGAGCAAAAACTGTTGAACTAGAAAACCTGACCAAAACTTCTTTATCGGAATCGTTGGTTTGGTTTCATGTAGATCCGTGCTTGAACTGTCTTGACAGGCCCCTCCAATAAGGTGCAACTGTCTAGGGCCACATCAAGAAGGGTTTTCCATTGAGGTATTTAAATATGATAATTCATAGATCAGAGATGAGGTTTATTTATTCACAATTTAGGTGATTAATTAAACATATATTGATATTATAATTAATCTACAATTCAATCTCACCCCCGACATGACCCCATCCCCAATTTCAAAACCTAAACCTCTCTCTTCACTCTCTTCTCTGTTGTTGGTCTTCCTTCTCTCTGTCGTCGGATCGGTGGCGCAGTCGACGAGTAATTTATTGAGAGAAACCTACCTCGACACCCACCCCATCTCCAAATTCAAAACCTCTCTCTCTCCCCCCCTTCCCCTTTTCGGTTTGTCGTCTCCATTCTCTTTTTCATTAGACCAGTTGTGCAGCTGATGTGAAGTTTACAGAGAGAACTGATCGTTGTCGATGCTCCCTTATCTCTTCTCATACTCACAGGAAGCGATTGGATCGTTGTGTATGATGCCAGTAATAATACTGATTGGATCTCTCGAGTAGTGACGATGAAGGGTCGATGTGATTGTTTTTGGTCATTTTTTGGTTGTTTTGGTTGTTGGTGATTGTTTTAGTTGTTGGATTGTTAGTGGTGGTGCAATAGTGGTGGTTTGTGGTGGAGGTGGTTGCTGGTGGCTGAAAATATGATAGTGGTGATCGTCGTGCAATAGTGGTGGAGGTGGCTGAAGATATGATAGTGGTGATTGTCGTGGATTTTATTGGTAGTGGATTGGATCTAGTGGTGGCAATTTTGTTGGTGGTCGTGGTGGTGATGTTGTGGTGCTCGCGATAGTAGTAAGGTGAGGGTGGTCGTAAATGGTCGTGGCAGCAACGACGGTTGTGATGGTGTTGTGTCAAGGGTGGGTAGTGTTTATGATCAAGTATTGTGGTGGAATGGGATCGGGATAAGGTATGGTGATGTGGTGCAAGCGACGATGGGTGGTAGTGACTAAGATTGTGCTGAATTGGGACCGATGGGGGGTGTTCGTAATCTGTGACCAATTATTTAGGTGTAAAGAATACACTTGAAATATGGTTTTTTCCCTTTTCCGTTGTTAATTTCCTACTTAAATGGTGTAGTGGGGTTTCGGTTCAGTTTTTTTGTCAAATATGTTACTTTCTCCTTTCATAAAGATATGTTTGCTTTTTTCTTTTTTCTTTTTTTCTCTAAATTATAGGCTAAGAGTATAATTGATTTTAAAATTTTTAATATGATTTGTTATCAACAAATATGAACCACTCCTATTTAAATTATTATTAAATATAAAAATGTATTAGGAAAAATGAAATTAATATTTATTTTAATTATATTCATTACTTCTCTCAAGTGTGAAAATAAAAGTAAATTTATCTTTTCGGGATGGGGGAAGTATAATTTATCGTACGAATTCATATTGAAGTCATAAAGTTGAAAAAAAAAAATGTATTGTCACTCTTGTTTGTGAAATAAATCGTAAAAATATTTATTAAAGACATAAATGCAACACAACTCATTTACTTGGATTTGGTACCAACAATACAAAACATAAGCTACTCAGTAAAATGGGTAAACCTAATAATCTCATGTGTATAGAACACAATAAATAAATTGTAACGACCCATCTATTACATAGGGCCATAACATAGCCTTGATGGTAGATTTTACTATGGAGATATTGGGACGATGGATTATCAACAAATTCCATGTAACTAATAAAGAAAGAAGGAGAAAAGTGGTTAAAACACACTTATGGTACCTATAGGCTCCCGATGGTCAAGTGAGCGATTTATCGAGGGAATTCGTATGGAATGCAGAAAGTGTGTAAATAAGCCTACTTAACAGAAGGATTGTAATTATTCGGATGGTAAACGATAATACTCAGAGATTGACGCTGGAGTTGCTGATGTGATTTCACCAAATAACTCTGATAGAAATTCGTATGGAATGCAGAAAGTGTGTAAATGAGCCTACTTAAGAGAAGGATTGTAATTATTCGGATGATAAACGATAATACTCAGAGATCGGCGCCGATGGTTGCTGATGTGAACTCATCAGATAACTCTGATGAAAAACTATCCAAAGATAAGACCACATCTGATTGTAATTGGCTTACAATCAAACGCATCCTAAATGTTAAATACTTTATGGCTTGGAAAAATTACAATATGTTGAGAAATTTCATGCTTCACTTTGTCCAATTTATATTTTAGATCTTGTGGAATTATAATGCCTTCTGGTATTAGGCTGGAGTAACAAAGCCTTATAAAGGGATCTTAGTCTATTCATTGATTTCTATTTGTTGAGTTGTTGATCGTTAATGGAAACTCTCGTGATTGTAGATTATATTTATAATTTTGCTTATCGAAGAACTTACCTACTTTGATGTTCCTTTCCTTTGATTATTTATTATTCGGTTCCTTTCTTGTGGAAAATTGGATGGTCAGATGTATATTACAAATGTGAGGGTTCATTGTGACAATCATTCGTATACAATGCTAATTAAACGAGTAGTAAAATGGACCTCAAGAGTCTAAATTGTCGTTCTCAAAATGACTAAAAATCTATTTAGTGATTGATCTAACTATTCCTAATTTCTATTTGAATAAAGTAAACGTTGATGATAATTTTTGATTAAAAATAATATTAACTAAGAAGAGTAAAATTAAATTAACAAATGTTTTCGTTGAATTGAGAATAAAGTATTCAATCTGACAATTAAAATATTGTATTAACTCGTAATTTCACCATAAATATCACATTTAATCTCATCTCTTGCTTTCAAGACGGGATGGGATCTTTACTTCTGATCCTAAGCTGTGAACTCATTTCTTTGACAACTTAAACTAGGCTCCACTTTAGATAGGTTTTTGGTTTTAATCACGGCGAAACTAAATGGTTCGAATGAAGAGAAAAAATAATAGGAGATTCCCCTATGTAGAATGTACGACGTCCACTGAAAAGAAGAAGCAAGCAATATACTTCAATAACTTTTACATATACTTGGTGGTATTCACTAATTAAATCAATTTAGGTCGCTTAAGTTCAAATCAATTATATCTAGTTGAGTCAACCTAGTATGCCCTTGTTTGATGGGGATTAAAATTAGATTTTTAGTAGATTTTGACAAAAGTTGATGAAATTGTAGTTAAAAAGTTGTGGAATCTATTAAATATGTGGTTAAAATTCATTGTTGATTTTGATTTATATTAAAATTAGAATTTTAATATATAACAATAGGGGTTATATCTCTATGTAAATTTGAATAAGTCTCAACTAAATTAAGGAAAAAAATCGTAACCTGATGAAACATAGTCCTAAAATTACTCACCTAACCAGGTAAACGGGATGGGGCGGGGGCTACTAACTAAAAATATAAAATAAATAAAAATAAACTGAGCAATAAATGGGGCAAGGGACCCAAAATACGCCTCGAACCACTTTAACCAGGTATGGGGATGGGGTACGATAACTAAAATACCCGATGGGACATGAGTGGAAATGGTCGACCTGTCTCATATCCACCTCATTACCATTCCTAGATTAAACGCATTAAATCACCTACAAATTCTATTAAAGACCAAGATGAGGAAAAGTATATATCTATCTTACCCACTTTTCGAATTTCATCACATGGTTTAAATTTGTATCTCGCATCTCATTTTGTTACAATCCACAAATTAATGAAATCATCATCAATTATTTCAAAACATTAAGAAAATAAGTAAAATCAATACATAAAACAAGGTTAATTAACACAAAACATCCTTACCTTCCAATGTTTTTATGCAAAACGTTCCTACTTTTCGTTTTTTAGTATTTATACCATCATTTCATTTTTCATTACGGAAAAGATCCTTACATCCACCTACCGTCAGTCGCTCTGTTCACTCAACACAAAAGTCAAAGATAATATAGTCTTAGGCAGCTTATCTTCAATAACTCAATTGGTTTATACCAATTTCCTATTTTATTGGGACTTGCTACTTAGGAAGTATACCTTCAAGTGGGAGAAACAGAATGCAATAACTCACTAAAATTTTCAAATTTTGAGCAAGGGAATCTAATGAAGTTTATTTAAGTAAATTCTTTTGAAAACTCGCCTTAGTCTTATCAAATATATAAACATAAAGCCTTGACTTTAGGCGCAACTTCACAATTTCAATCAATCCAAAAAAAAGAGAAGTGAGTCCAAACTGCTTCATCAAAAAAAAAAGTGCAAGAGATGCATACCTTCAAGGCTAAAAACGAAAGAAGAGAAGTGAAACTGAATATGGAATCAGAATCTAATGAAATAGAGTTTGAGGCTGGAATCT